CAGAAGACTCACTGGCCCCTGCTTTCACTGCCAAATGCTGCCATCTACTGTGCAACAATGAAAACGCCTGTTTTGGAAAGACAACGGGAAATTGCTACCAGAGCCCTCCTGGGCAACCTGCAGCCAGGTGAACAGGAAAAAACAGAACCGTTGCTAACCTACAGTCACTGGATTTCTGCAACGTTTTGCCCACGTGGACCCCTCTTCTGGGACACATGCACCCCGTGCCTGCAGAAGGGGGCACATACATCCCCAGCAGTGGGACCCTTTTAACCAAAGAAGGGTGAAGAGTTCCTCCAGCAGATCCACGTGTGGTCCTTAGACCTTTTAAAACGGGCCATGAATTGGTATTTTATGGAACAGGATTTGCTCTTTTAAACCCGCCATCCCGTTACTGAAATACGTCCTTGTCCCTTTACGCTGGAAGCCCAGTGCTTTCCAAAGGCTCCTGAGACTTCCAGACTGGAAATGCTGCTCACCAGGGGCTGAAGCTTAGCAAGCAAGCAGGCTGGAGGCAGGAAGCCCCTCCGAAGCAACAGCAGAGATTCTCTCAGGCAGGGACATGGGAGTTTCAGGCAGTAGGGGTTCAGAAAATCAGTGTTGCTCTGTGGCCAGATGTCCACCTCCCAAAGACCACACTCCTGGTGCCAAGGGACGACAGCCGAGGTGAATGAGCCGTTGAGACTGAGCTACGCTCTCAGCCTAGCGGGCAGGGCTCAGAGCCGCGTGCTGCGTTCACACGGCTTGTGATTCATTTGCATGAGGGGATTTCAGACCACGAAGGCTGCCAGTCGTGCACTTTTCATCTGTCCTCAGCTCTGCCAGAGGGATGTGGAGGATGCATTCCTACAACAGGATGATCTATTTTTGCAGCACCAAGGATTCACCATGTGATACCCATTTACATTCAAAATCCTCTTCTGTATTTGCACACGTTCAAATTGTCCTAAACAAACCGAGCCACCTGAGCCTGTCCAAGTCTAGGAATTTCTTGTCACGACCAGAGTTCACCACAGATGCATGTGGGCAGTTCCCAATGATCTCAGTGCACATATATGGGCACCGGATTGGCCTCCTGTAATTTGGAACCACTCACTGATTTAATAAAGACAGGGCTTCTTGATTTGAATAGGTATTTCTGATGTTGAGACCCATACAGGTATCTAGGCAGACACAATCTGTTGGAAATAGACCTTAGGGACAAGGAAAGCAGAAAGGTGCTCTTATTATTTTTAATCTGTGTTACAGTGGCACATAGGGGCCACAGCCTGAACCCCATAGTCCCACAGGAGAGCTTCCACTGTGCTAGGAGCTATAAACACTAGACATGAAGGACAGTCCCAAAAGCCCTCCAATAGCTCTGTAGCCAAGGACATTAACGCACCTGATCATAAAGCATTATCCTTGCTCAGTGCTCCAGACAGCAAAAACATTTGTTTCTCTCGCCACCTTCCCCAGAGGGAAAATTTCTTCATATTTGCGGATCAGTTTAACCCCGTATACAGGAGTACGGATAGCCACAGTGATGTGTGTAATCCCACAGTACACCGGGCAGCGGTTGTCCAGAGTTTTCTTGAACCGGAGTCTCCTTAGATTAACAAACTGTTGTTATTGCCACTACACAGCAACGAGCAATGTGCAGCAAACGTCTTGGTTTTCATCAGGGGGCCTGCTGCAGGCTGTGGTTATTGATGATTCCTCCATTGCTGCTCAAGGAAAGGAGGAAGCATATTTTAATTAAGCTGGCTTGTAAATGAAAAGCCTCTCCTCATCTCCGGGTGCGGACATACTCCTGACAGCCCCAGCTGCTTGTCCAAGACATGTATATTTGTAATGCAGAAAAGCCTCCAAGGACTTGATGTTCTTCACCAAAAATATACTATATATTGCAGAAGGGCAACACCTCTGTGGGACTGTCTTTTCAGATTCTATTAGGTTCCATCTATATTTCATCCCTTCTCTGCCACCTAGAAAAGAGCATCAGTTTCCAGACAATTTCACAACAGGGTTTTGCTTCAGGATCTGCATACGTTTTGTCCCTAATCCATATCCAAGAAAGCATTTTAGCAGCCTATAAATTACTTCCTACTCATAATTATTGACTTGGGTTGTTGATGGAGGTCACCATCCCCACTTAAACATCCTTCTGGGCCATCAGTCATGTCTCAGAGCAGGGAAACTCAGGGATATAACTTTGCAGGGTTTGTATAAATGGTTTAATTTCTTTTTGTCTCAGAATCCTAGGGCTGGAAGAGACCTTAGGAGTCATCAAGTCCAGCCCCCTGTCAAAGCAGAACCAATCCCAACTCAATCATCCCAGCCAGGGCTTTGTCAAGCTGAGACTTAAAAACCTCTAAGGATGGAGATTCCACCCCCTCCCCTAAGTAACCCATCCCAGTGCTTTACCACGCTCCTAGGGAAATCATTTTTCCTAATATCCAACCTAGACCTCACCCATTGTAACTTGAGACCATTGGCTCCTTGTTCTGCCATCCATCACTACTGAGAACAGCCTCTCGCCATCTTGTTTGGAACCTCCCTTCTGGAAGTTGAAGGCCGCTACCAAATCCTTCCCCCCCCCCTTTTCTTCTGCAAACTAAACAACCCAAATCCCTCAGCCTCTCCTCATAGGTCATGATCTCCAGCCCCCTAATCATTTTGGTTGCCCTCCGCTGGACCCTCTCCAATGCGTCCACATCCTTTTTGTAGTGGGGGGCCCAGAACTGGACACAGTACTCCAGATGTGACCTCACCAGAGCTGAATAAAGGGGAATAATAACTAATAAAAGGGAATAATCATTTGTCCTTATGAGTCAGCTAATTTAGCACTTCAGTCTTTCACCATGACTTTGTGTTCCTGCCTTAAGTCTTCAGTGGAGCCCAGATGCAAAGGCGATGGGAGCCACGTATAAGTCAAAGCAATCGTCTGACCACAGGAGAGGATGTGTTCTGATCAGAATGCTAAGGAATCCCTTCTAGAAACTAACTCACTAGCCTAAACTTACAAAACATCAGAGGCAAACGGTCCACAGCTAAATCTGCCAGCAGAGCGAGTTCTAGTTTGTTAGCAGTGTGTGCCAATTCCAACAGAGCAGGCACAGTGAGTGCGTCCTTATGCACCAAATCAAAAAATTGCACTATAATGACCAAGGAGTGAGTGGATCTCTCATTTCAGAGAGACACTGGCAGAAAACAAATAGAGATGATGTCATGATAGGGTTGACTAAAGATCACCAAGACAGGAAGAGGATGGGGGATGCCACATCAAACAACAGAAATATTCAACACAAGACCAAGTAGTAATGAGGAAATCTAACTCCCCTGACATCTATTGGAAAAGCATTACAAAAACAAAAGGAAACACAATTTCTAACAAGTGCTTGGAATGCACTGGGGACACCTTTGCGTTTCAGAAAGCAGAGGCAGTAACCAGGGTGACAAATATTTTAGACGTGATTCTGACCAACAGGCAGGAATTGGTTCTGAATCTGAGGGTGAAAGTGATCATGAAATGACGTACCGCATGATTCTAAGGATTGAGGGCAACAGAATAAGGACAATGGTCTTAAAAATGCAGACTTTAACAAACTCAGAGAATTAGTAGGTAAGGTCCCATAGGAGGAAAATCTAAGAGGAGGAAGTTAAGAAAGCTGGCTGTTTCTCAGGATTAAAGGAGTCAATATTAAAGATAAAACAACAAGCTATCCTGATGCAAAGGACAAAGAGGGTATGTCTACACTACAGGGTTTTGTCGACAGAAGTTTTGTCGACAGATACTGTCGACAAAGCTTCTGTCGACAAAGAGCAACTAGACTACATCCAGTTCTGTCAACAAAGCAAGCCGCTTTGTCGACATAACAGTGTGGACGCAAAGGACAGTGTAGATGCAATAATGCCTTCTATCGACAGAACTCTGTTAACAAAAGGCGTTATTCCTCGTAGAATGAGGTTTACATACGTCGACAAAACTGCTGAGTTTTGTCGACGTTATGTCGACATAACTCAAAGGCAGTGTGGACGCAGGTATAGTTTTGTCGACAAAAGTCCACTTTTGACGACAAAGCCCTGTAGTCTAGACACACCCAGAGAATAGTAAGAGGCCAATATGGCTCCATTAGACGTTCTTTATTGACCCCAAAATGAAAACAGAATCCTAAAAGAAGTGTAAGCATGGATGAATTGCTGGGAAGACTACAAACACACAGTTTTACACTACTGCAGTGGTTCTTAATTGTTTATATAATACAGTAATTAATTGTGGCTCTGGGAAGGCAATCGGGAGGCCTGCAAAGGGGTGGTTACAATCTACAGCAAGGAAAATAACATCTCCAGAAAAATCTAGAAGTGGCCAAAGCCTTCCAAGTTTGTGAGGACAAGTGTAGTGCTTGTAGCAGTCGTTGTATTTTATGGGCTAATCATCCGTACTTCATTTGTAATTATTTTTGGAGCAAGTGGAAGTGAGTTATGAAAAGTTCTGACTTTGAATCATTGAGAAACACTGTCCTGAGTCTCACCATAGCTTCAGTGGAGGGGCCTGGCACTCTTTTCTCACTGCAACTGGGAGAGGATGGTGAAAACATCAACTTAGAAAGACAGAGAGCGAGAGAGAGAGAGAGAGAACACCTTTTTACTAGCCCATACAAGTGTGTCGTCTTGTTCACGGGAGTGATTGAGGGACTGATCCAAAGCTCCTGATATCAATGGAAAGACTCCCATTGACTACAATAGACTTGGGATCAGGCCCTGAATCGAGACAAAAATCAGGTTGATGCAAATGTGCTGTTTAAGGTCTTTGAACATACATTTTAGCAAACACAGCTGTGCACATTCTGATCCTAAGGGATCTTCTTTTTGTATGGCACAGCCCAGCTAAAAGTGTCCATCATCGGAGGATGAAAGAGGGACAGCACAAAGAAGCTGTTTTCTGAAGAAGGAAACTAGGTCAAATGCTTTATTTTCACATGATATCATATTGATTTTTGCAATGATGAGTCTGGCAAACAAACAGGAACTTGGCTTTTTATTAGGCAATGCCCAGGGGCCTGCATGCAAGATCATAACCATCAGGGGACACACTGCAGAGGAAGCTCTACAATAGCCTTGCGTCTGGACAGCAGTATGCAAATGAAAGATATCAATGATTTGCAAAAGCATTTGCAATTTATTCCCATATCTTTCCTAACATATATTTAAAAAGACAGAAGTTGTCTGAATACATATTTGCCTTGTATGTCCATCCAGCACGTATTTTTCTGAAAGTTGAAGAGCTTGATATAATTTGTAGCTGCAATGAAGGTAGTTGTAATTCATAAATATTTCATTGGAAAGAATCTGGTAACATTTGGTCATAAAGTTCTGATTGGGACAGATAGGAATGGTAAAATGTAGGGATAGAAAACATTTCATACTGAGATCAGCAATTGTTTTCCTGTTCCTAGTGTCCGCCGTTTTGCGGAAAAGCGATTCCGGCAGTGCAAACACCCAGCATGCATTTATTGCTCTGACGCATTCCTATTAGTCAAAAACCCAGAACAAGATGGAATTTTCAAAAAGGAGTTAGGTGCTGTTAGCTTTCGGTGGGAAGTGGGCACCTAGCTCCCATGAGCACTTTTGAATATTCAATGCCGGCTACTTCAGTTGCATGTGCAGAGTATGAGTGTGCCCTGCAAACAGGTGTTCTCATGCATGCCACCACACACAGAGGTATGTTTGTGCACAAATGTACCCTCTTGCTCATCCAGTCGTATTTGCAACTATAGTACTGGCAGGCACAGTTACTTGTTTGCATTGTATTTACATGAGCGTAAATCTGGAGTCAGTGGAATGATCCATATTTACAGAGAGCAACATTTGGTTTAAAAAAAATTCTTCTCACTGTTGTTAAACATACAGAGCCAGCTGTTTAAAAGAGGTCCGCCCCTCACAGCAAGCTCCAAATCAAACAAAACAGGCCAACATTTTCAAAAATGTTTGCCTAAAGTGAAGCTCTTAAATTCATATTTTAGGGGTGGTTCAAGTGATGAGAGAATCTCTTCACCTTACTAACAATGCTCCAGCCATCCAGTCAAGAACCAGTGTGAAGTACAACCAGCCAGGAAAAATCACAGATCATGCTTGTTTAAAGGTCACCTGCAAAGGTTCTTTTAAAAATGTATTTGTCTCCTGTTATGTTATTTTTTTATAGAAAAAGGTGTTGAAAGTTAATTGTTTATTTGTGGTGGTGTTTGCATTGTACTCTGCTTGATTTTTAACTATAGCAATATTGGAAATGTCAGGTGTGGTCTTCCCTAGATTTGCTGGAGGACTTCTCAGAGGTGTAAGTGGAATCTCTTCTCTTCTCAGTTTGTTCAATTTTCAGTTTCTTGTCCTATATTCACTGAGTCTCCATTCACCACAGAATTTCCTGGGGGCAAGAAATTCCTGAATTTACACTGCAAAAAAAAGACAGACAAAAAATATATATTTTTTAATATGAAATCCTTTCAGGCCATCTTTATACAGAAAACAGGAGCAGAAAATGGCACAAGCTTAATATTTTTCCTGAAGAAGGTCATCTTTAAATTTTAAATAAGTCTGTGTCACTCTCAGGCTGAGGACCGGGAAGATAGATTCACCAGCCTTAGTGAATTCAGAATTAAACGCCCTTTACAGTTTCCATGGTCTGTCAAGAGTTTGCTCTCAAATGCAAAGGTCAAAAGCCATATGAACTATGTCATATGCTATTAGAATTCTAATATACCTGTTGGGTGAAAACACCATAAGCAAAAATATCCAGAGAGCCATCTCAGAGTGATTTACATTTTGGTCTGTTTATACAATTCCACCTGAGGTGTAGATAAACCCTAGGAAATTCAACTCATTCTTATGACGCAGGATTTTTTTTTTTAAGATGGCTTGATAATCAGAAATGAGTTTAGCTCTTTCTAGAATATCAAGCAGCCATATGTTGTATGTTCATGTGCCAAAGTTGCTAATGGCTTTCAGTTTTGGGGTGATATTTAGTAAGAGGATTGATGAGAGAAAAGACTAAAATCAGGTTAGGTAAGATCTTCTCCAACCAGCGTTCAGTCTTGAATGACTAGCCAGCGTCATTATGGACAAAACTCCCCCTCACACTCTGTTTCCAGATCTCTTAAACCTAGAGGTTATCATTGGGCCATTTATCTAGGCCAAAATTCATAGGTCACAAGCCTTATTCTAGCCACTGAAGCTCTTATCCTACAGAATACCAGCCTGGAAGTTCCTTGCATTATTGCTGAATATAATAAAGGCAGAATACAATGAAGGCAAGGCAGTGAATATCATAAATCTCAGCTAGCCCTCTGGGCTACAACATTTTATTCTCAGCCCCCCTTTATTGGGACACAGTCTAGACCCTTATTTATTAAAATTGAAAAGAACACTTTCAAAGAGTTGGAAATGTGGTTGAAAGGCTGTCAAATGAATACATCCAGAACTACAGGCTAAGGCATGCGTGTCGCAGGCGGGGCTGCTCCAGTCATCCAGTTAACAATTTGAATAACATCCCTAACTCTGATTAGACTTGTCAGTGGAATGGAGAGGTGCACTGACGACACTGCATTTAGCATTGCTTTCTGTTATGACCTTCATTGCTTCATGTACTCTCATCTGCCTGCTGTCTCTTGGTTTGTGTGTAGATTGTAAGCTGCTAGGGGCAGGGACCATCTCTTTATGTGAGGGGATGGAGCCTAGCACAATGGGGCTGGATGCATAACAGAGGCCCCAGGCACTGCTACAAGACAATAGGACACACATAGCCTTTAGATAGGTGCATACGCCCACCAGGATACTGCAGTGCTTTTTTGCTTCCTCTACTTTTTGGTAAATCTTACCACAGGAGCGCAAAACCACCCAACCCTAGTATATTATCACCAATCTCCTTTTTCTGTGTCCTTAGCTATATGACAGTGCACTCAGATATTCCTGTTCTCCATGGGTAGAAAGCGCTATCAAATACAGTCCACAAACTCATCACTGGACTTTGAAATTAGTCCAGTTGCTATATGTAACCATCCATTTCTGGAGAAATGTTCCATGCCCCTCTTTTGCTTGTCATGGAAATCTGGCTGATAGTAACTGCTCCCAACTCTCACAAGCCTGAGAGTAACTGCATGTCACATCCGTCCTGAGAGAGACGCATCAAAATAGGTCAGGTTCCAAGTAGGGATGATAGTGAGTAGTCGAGTGGAGTATCGACTACTCGCTTCCTCGCCCACCTTGCTCTATGAGAGGCTGTGGGGGGGGGGAACAGGAGCCAATGCTGGGGGGAGCCAGCTTAAAAGCCGGTTCCCCGCAGCATCATCTCCGCAGTGCTGCTCTGCCCCTCTGTACCACCCTGAGAGCAGATGCATATTAGCTACAATTGCATTTAAACAGGAACTGTTTCTCAATATGCGTTCATATAGCACCTCCCAAGCTGAGCTGTGTGGATGCTACTGCAGCATTAATAATAACAGCAGGAAGAAATACATACATGCAAAGTAAAACAGGAGTTAGCAATTTGTTTAAAGTATCAATCTTGCTTGCTAGTTTAAAAGCCATAATGCAGGAACCTTCACAAAGAAACAAGAGCTGTCAGTCTGGGTCTTTTTGCTAGAATGACATTCTTTACAATCAACAAATAAAGGCGACCCACATTACACGTTTCTCTATGGTTCTGAAATGGAAATAATGAAACTGTCTTGTATATTTCAAAACCAGGCTACTCCATTTAGTAGGCATAGGGTAATTTCATAGTTAGAAAAATAAATTGATCTCTCTCCCAGTGGCATTATTTGCCACAGCTACTACATGACACAGGTTTGAGGTCTTTGGAATAATTGCTTTTTGTATCTTGAGATCACTTTTCAACTTGTCAGAAAAGTCTCTCGCCTACAGAAAACGCATCGTAATAGTTCACCCCCTGCTGGGAGCAATTTTAATTTTGATAAGCCTATTAGTAAGTCATCTCAACTGATACCTCTTACTGTTCTGAAAAGCAGATCTCAGGGACGCTATGCGGTTATTGACTCTCAAGTAAATGGCTGTTTGCGGTAGCACTTTGTTCTGATTCACTGCTATTCACAAACTTTCCATCCATATTCCTTATAACAGGCATGTCCAAAGTCCGGCCCGCGAGCCAATTGCGGCCCGTGTTCCGGTTTAATACGGCCCCACAGGTAATTTGGCAATATCTATCTTTTATGGCCCCCAACGAATCCATATGTATTGAGATGAATACATTGTAAAATCTCAGTTAATGTCAGTTGGTCTAAATCAGTTATAAATATATTTGGACACAACATGTATACTTGGTGTTATGTTCCTGTTCATATTTTTTGAACTTAAAAGTTGACAGACAACCTTTATTACCAATAATATGTAATGTACTTTACAATGTTCCTGACATATATTTCATCTTCCTGGATTTTTTTTTCATCTGGCCTTCAGATATGAAAGGCAGAGTGATTTAACACCTGTTTAGATTTGTCATCCATGTGACGGAATGAAAAGTATGCCGTTTGCAATAAACTTTGCATAAAATAGTTAATTTGCATTTAATTTTAATGGTTCAAAGAATGTCAGGCAAAATGGTCGGCCCTCACGCATGTTCACTTTATCAAATCTGGCCCTCTTTGAAAAAAGTTTGGACACCCCTGCCTTATAACAAGAAGAGCCAATTTAGCGTTGCCTTTCATTATTTAATCTTTCCTTTTTCTGGGCCCTATTCTGCAATTCTTATTCTTGCTAAACTCCCAATGAAATCAATAGCAGCTTGGCCTGAGTCGCCCCCTAAAGCTATCATTTTAATTCACTCTAATATTTAGGGCCAGAGCCTTCATCAAACAGTGGCAGAATCTTGCCCTTAACCATACTGATGCTTCACAGTGTTCCTGTTAATTTACAAATAACTGGGCTAAATAAACATCTTGGTCTTATTTAGAAAACAAGATGGACACAGATATTATTACCTCATAAACAGGAAGCAGCTTCAAGTCATCATCTAAATAGCCACTCGCCTAGACAAACAATACTTCTAGTCCTTGTTTCATACATCTGTATACACAGATGCATATATTTTGGAAGGAGTAACACTAACAGTTTAGAATTCAGTTAGGGGGTGATGTGTAATTAGTCAGCTGTTAGATAAATCACTTTTCTCCTCAAAACAGACTAAGAAATACAGAGCATAATATTTTTGTCTTCATTGTACAGAATTTTAAATGCAAAAAGAAATAAGGGATCTTCAGTATATGTTTAAACCAACTCACCCATTTCAAACAGTGGTAAAAGAGTATCAATTAAGGGCACTGCTGTTGTTTTAAAACCTAGCAAAACATAAAATATATTAAATTTATTTAATTAAAACATAACACGAAAATGAAGTATCAGTAGTACAAAGAGAAAAGAATAAATGTTGTAGTAATCATATTTCTATCTCTAGATGTGCTACATCAAAAAACTTCCAACAGTCACTACGTATTTTATTTCTCTTATTTCGAAATAGCTTATTTCATAATGTGGCACGGTACCTGCTATTCCAAAACATCCCTTAATCCTCGTGGAATGAGGTTTACAGAGACATCAGAATAGCGAACCCGAAAAAACGGGCTTGCAGTGAATATACGGGATAGCTATTTCGGAATACTCCAGTGTAGTGTAGACGTAGCTTATGAGAATAAGTAAAAACAGCAGCAAAAGGGGAAAAGGAATTTAAATTAGTGACATTTTTGTTTGCATTTACCAGTTTCTAAAAAATAACATTACAAATTTGAAAGCAACTTTTGTACTCAGAGTTTAGTGTCAGGATATTTAATTGAAAACAACACCAGATGTTCATTATTAAGACTTTCTTCGTAACAGCTAAATCAATTTCTTGGAAATGCTTTAATGAGATAATTGTCAATCTCTTTCGGCAGGACAAACGCCTTTTTTGTGCTTCCTCTGTATGAGCTGACACGTAATTTATCTCCCTTTTTTTAACCCATGAATATTAGCTACAGTTCACCTCTGCATACATGCTGGAGCTGCTTGAGAATTCATAGAGTGAAATCTGAAGCCAAACACAACTAGCTCCCCTCGCAGACCAGCTCCTGCTTGCCACCCCACACTGCTGCCTCTGATAGAAAGGCAGTAGCGCAGGGTGGCAGGTGCACTGGCTGCCGGTCCCACCTCCGGGGACTATCAGATAGTCGTGTAGCCACTAAAATCTGATGCAGTTACACAACTATTCAGGTATATGCCATCTAACATTCCTAGCTGTGCCGGCCTTGTACATATTGGTTTGATCAAAATATTTCTATTCATCATGCTGACGACTACACCTTATTTAGGAGGGGTCAGTGTGTTTCTGCTACATGTGGGAAATGCGCTGGTATCGAGGTATTCTGGTACCAGCCTTCTGGAATGTGTCTCTGTGCGCACTCTGTGCCTACCCCCTCTTAGGAATATGTGTTTCTGCAGGAGCAGCCCTGTGCTTGCCAAATTCCATGAGCAGAGCCTGTCTTGCTCACAGCCTGATTTTGCTTCATATCGGGAAAGTGTTTACCACTTTAGACCAGGCCTTAGGCCTCATGCCAGGCCTCCGATACATGGGCCTTTCTTTCAGGCCTTTTCCTACTATACCCACATGCCTCAAGTTAAGCATCCAGAAAATGAGGCAGCAGCCACCTGTAAAACGTTTGGTTTGAAAGTGACGTGCCCAGGAGGCATGCAAAGTATAATATATATTTTGGTAGTGTGCTGATCAAAATATACTATAAATAGCATTTTACACTGACTACCAAATTCAATTGGTTTGGAAGTATGTTCTAGATACAGTTTACTAAGAGAAACAGGAAACTAGAATCACCAGCTCAAACAAGGAAATCTGACAAGACGCTAGGGGTCCTTCTACCCAAAACCATCCTCTGGTATATTGTCAGTATGGGAGTACAGCGCTGTCAGGACGGAAGTGTACTTGCATCCTATTTAGTATGAAAATAAAGGGACTTTTAGAAGGAAGGGAAAACAGGAAGCCTATTGATGTCATTCCCTGTGTCTAAGCTCAGATCTGTATCATGTTCCCCCCCAAATACAAACAGAAACATGTTGTTTGAATTACTGTGTTGCACCAACATGAAATTCCTGTTACCGGGATTCAGTTTAGTAAGCCACTGCTGACTGATTAAATATACGATGGCTTGCTACACAAAGAGTGTAAGGAGAAATTATGTCCCAGCTGAGGAAATGTAAAAGTCTGATAAACCGTGAGAGGGAAGCTTGAATATTGGCATGGAACTGTCGGGGGAGGGAAAGGTGCACTGTGCAAAGTGATTTTAATATGGATCTTAAGAAATCAAATGGCTGATTATGGGTCAGAGCCTGACGCAGGCAGAAAAGTCTTCTAAGCAGGCCCACATATTGCTGCAACAGCATTAGTGTGTACTTACCCACTCATTGGCAATGGAGCTTCTATGCAGATTATTCCCGCTGAAAGCCACAATAACCTGTATGAGAGAAGGGAGGCAGTTCTTTGGCATCACAGTGATTCACAGTGTCAGCTACCAAGACGCAGAGGAGCAGGCCTAGTGGTCAGAGCCATGGTAGTCTGGCTTTTTGGTCCATGTGGTGGCAAGCAGGCCAGCCATGAACTGGTCAAAAGGTCAGAGTCAGGACTGAAGAGAGGTTCAGAACAAAGAAAGGATAGGACTAAGGATCAGGCTGGAGCAAGAGCAAGACTGGACCACGGCTGAGACCTGGGGAGTCTGTCATGGCCATCGGGCAAGGGAGCATCCCAAGCCATGAAATTACATTGACTGACCTGCTGTTTGCCCACTGAGGGTTAGATACCTGCCCTGAGAATTACTAGCTCCTGACACGTAGATTGGCTGGACCCTAATGCAGGAATGATCATCGCTGCATGTAGCATAATCAGGATCAAATTCAGGAAAGACTTATTATCAGGTATCACCCCTTCTGCCTTGAGGAGGGTTCCCAAGTGCTCTTGGACCCAGCTTGTCAGGATGCGATTGATGGAACACCCAAAGGAGGTCCGATGCATGTATGTCCATTACTTCTTGTTCTTTTTGTAGCGGATAAGAATAATTTAGCACCCTCCTTTTTTTAACAACTTTTTATGTACTGAGAGACTGTTATCAAGTCTCCACTCAGTTTTCTCTTCTCTAGACTAAACAAACTCCATTTTTTCAATCTTTCCTTGAAGGTCATGTTTTCTAGACCTTCCATCATTTCTGTTGCTCTCGTCTGAACTGTTTCCAAATTGTGCACATCTTTTCCCAAAGAATTACTTCTCACATCTTGCTTACAATACTCCTGCTAACACATCCTAGAATGATCCCTTTTTTTCCCCCAACAGTATTACATTGTTGACTCATGTTTAGTTTGTGGTCCAATTTAAACCCCAGGGCCTTTTCTGCTATAATTCATGCTAGACAGTCATTTCCCATTTTGTATCTCTGCTATTGATTATTCCTTCTAAGTGTAACACTTTGCATTTGTCCTTGTTGAATTTCATCCTATTTATTTCTGATCATTTCTGTAGCGTGTCAATATCATTTTGTGGTGTAATCCTGTCCACCAAAGCATTTGCAACCCATCCCAGTTTGGTATCATCTGCAAACTTCATAAATTTACTCTTTATGCTGTTATCTAAATTATTTATAAAGATAATGAACAAAACTGGACCCAGAACAGACCACTGTGAGAGAGGATTGGTGGCATGTGAATCTTACTACAGCTGAGATATGTCACATTTCTTGCTTTCTCCCCTATTAGCAAGGCTTGTTACCATGTCCAAGAAGGGTACTAGGTTGGTTTGACATGATTTGTTCTTGACAAATCCATGTTGGTTGTTATTTACCACCTTATTATCATAGGTGTTTGCAAACTGATTGATTATTTACGCCATTATCTTTCCAGATACCAAAGTTAAGATGACTGATCTCTAATTCTCTAGATTGTCATTATTCCTCTTTTTATAGACAGGTACTACATTTTCCCTTTTTCAGTTCTCTTTGGATCTCACCTGTCTTTCATGAGTTGTCAAAAATAATAGCTAGTGGACAAGCGATATCTTCAGCCAGTTCCTAAGTTTTCTAGGGTATATTTCATCAGGCCCTGCCAACTTGAAGACATCTAACTTGTCTTCATAATTCTGAACTTGCTCGTTCCCTATTTTAGCCACAGATTCTTCCCCCTTTACACTGATGTTCACTATGTTTGTTATCTGATCACTCCTAAAATAAAAAGCCATTTTACAATTACAGCCATTTCTGCTATTGTCTTTCCCTTCTCACTGAATAACAAGATTATATTGTCCTGGATCTTCCTTTTGTTTTTAATGAATTTGTAGAATGTTTTCTTGTTACCCTTTATGTGCCTAGTTAGATTAATCTCATTTTGTGTCTTAGCCTTTCTAATTTTGCCCCTAGATGCCTGTGTTGATTTTTTGTTAATATATTATGTTAATTATAGCAGTAATATATATATATATATATA